GCCTCCCAAGTAGCTGGGACTACAGGCACCTGCCACAATGCCTGGCTATTTTTTGGTTGCAGCCATCATTGTTGTTTGGCAGGCCTGGGCTGGATTCGAACCCACCAGCTCAGGTGTATGTGGCTAGTGCCTTAGCCGCTTGAGCCACAGGCAAGGAGCCAAATCCATTTTTTATTTTATTTTATTTTATTTCTTTGAGACAGAGTCTCAAGCTGTTGCCCTGGGTAGAGTGCCATGGCGTCATTATAGCTCACAGCAAACTCCAACTCTTGAGGACAAGTGATCTTATTGCCTCAGTGTTTTTTTTGTATTTGTGGTATAGACAGGGTCTCACTCTTGCTCAGGTTGGTCTAGAACCCGTGAGCTCAAGCAGTCTGCCCTCCTTGACCTCCTAGAGTGCTAGGATTACAGACAAGACTTTATAGACTTTGAGAGTGTTGCAAAAATTTTAAAGATCTCTTATACTGTTTAGCCAGCTGGCCTAAACTTAATATTGTGTATTACTGTAATTCGCTCATTGAAAATTAAGAAATTTACTTGATACAGTACTATTAATTAAACTGCAGACTTCTCAGAAGTTCATCTGTTGTCTTTTATTTTTCCTATTCCAGGATCTAATCTAGAGTTCCTCATTATATTTAGTTGTCATGTCTTCTTGGTCTCCTTCAATCTGTGACAATTCCTCAGTCTTTGTTTTTATGACCTTCACAATTTTGAAATTTTTTGTTTTGTTTTTGAGACAGGGTCTTGCTCTGTCACCTGAGTAGCGTGCAGGGGCATCATATCTCACTGCAAGGTCAACTTCCTGGGCTCAAACAATCCTCCTTGCTCACCCTCTTGAGTATCTGAGATTACAAGTGTGCACAACCATGCCTGTCTAATTTTTGTAGATACAAGGTCTTGCCCTTGTTTTTCAGGCTGATCTTGAACTCCTGGCCTCAAGCAGTCCTCTCGCCTTGGCCTACCAAAGTGCTAGGATTATAGGCCTGAGCCTATACCGTGCCTGGCTTGGAGTATTTTGTATCTATATTTTTAGAATGTCCCTCAGTTTGGTTGGTTGCATCTAATGTTTTCTTGCACTTAGTTTGAGGATGAGGTTATGTTGTTTGTTTGGTTTTTTGGTAGGGTCACTTTATCACCCTCAGTAGAGTGCCGTGGTGTTATACAGCTCACAGCAACCTCCAGCTCCTGGGCTTAGGTGATTCTCCTGCCTCAGCCTCCTGAGTAGCTAGGACTACAGGTGCCTGCCACAATGCCCAGCTATTTTTTTGTTTAATTTGGCTGGGGCGGGGTTTGAACCTGCCACCCTTGGTATATGGGGCCAGTGCCCTACCCACTGAGCTACAGGCGCCTCCCTGTTGTTTTTTGTTTTTTTTTTTTTAAAGATAGGGTCCTGGCTGGACACAGTGGCTCAAGCCTGTAATCTTGGTACTTTGGGAGGCTGAGGCAGGAGGATTGCTTGAGCTCAGGAGTTTGAGACCAGCCTGAGCAAAAACAAGACCCTGTCTCTCCTAAAAATAGAAAAATTAGCCAAGGGTCCTGGTGGGTGCCTGTAGTCCCAGCTACTTACGTTGCAGGAAGACAAGGCCTAACGGAGAGAAAGAACATCCAAACACCATGTTTATAAGAGGAAGGGCTTTATTTACCGGCCGGGAGCTTACGGCATAGAAGATTTCCAAATGGCCGAGCTCTCCAACTGGCTTGGTCTTTACCTTTTTATTGACAGTCAAAAAGTTCCATCCCACAGATACCCCTCTCATTTGCTAGTTTGAATCAAGTGGGAGATGCTATTCTAGCCCCTACAGAACTACAGGATTTCACAGAACTTGGAAATTTCCAAGTTACAACTTTCTAAGAGCTGAGTCACCATGGAGAGGACCTTGTAGGTGTATCTTTGTGGTCTCCTTGAGAAGACCTGTTCTCCTAGACCTCACCCGTCTCAGGTATCCTCTCTCCCTTAGAAGCCTGAGACAGGAGGATCCCTTGAACCTAGGACTTTGAGGTCACTGTGAGCTAGGCTTGACTGCATGGCACTCTAGCCTGGGCAGCAGCATGAGGAAAAAAATTGGGATAGGGTCCTGCTCTCTTGCCCAAGCTGGAGTGTAGCTGCATGGTTATATCCCACTGCAGCCTCAAATTCCTGAGGTTAAAAGGTCCTCCAAAGTAGGTGGAATTACTGGTGTGGGTATGGCTCCACATGTTCTCTTACTGATGTTAACCTTGATCTGGTGGTATCTTGTCAAGTTTCACCACTGGAAATTTACTTTCCCTTTGTGATCAATTATTTGGGGGAAGATTGCTATTTGCATATGAATACCCTATTTCTCCTTAGCTTTCCTTCACTAAGTAGCATTCATTGGTGGATCTTGCCTGCAGCAACTGTTACTTTGGTATTAGAATGTGACTTACTCTTTTCCTCATTCTTTCTATACTTATTTGTTGGAAAATTGGAATATTTTGAGGGGAAGAGCTGTTCCTTCTCTTCCTTTTATTTATATATTCAGTTACATTAGTATGTGCTGGTAGATATTTATTTTATTCTTTGGGCTATAATGCAGTGCTATCATTATTTATTCTGTTGCATAAATTCTAGTTTTGGCCATCGGGAGCTGTGTCCTTTGGACACATCAATTTTTTTCTGAGTCTTTCACTAGTTTTCTTTTTTTTTTGGGGCAGAGCCTCAAGCTATCCCCCTGGATAGAGTGCCATGGCATCACATTTCATAGCAACCTCAAACTCCTGGGCTATAGCGAGTCTCCTAGTTTGGTATATTGCAGGGGTGAACTCTGCCTGTTAACGTGGCTTGTAGCACAAGTTCCTTTCCTAGGTATGAAAATTATAAAGTAGCTTCCTCACAACCCACCAAAGAGGTTTTGAGAGTACAACCATAGTTACACAGCTAATAATTAGGGAGCTGAATTTCAAACTAGGTCCATCTTAATTCACATTCTATGTCTTTTACCAAGCTTTGTGTCCTGAAAGTGGCTTGAACCCTTAGACAACCTCAGTTATGATGAATTACAAAAGGAAATACAGGGTCAGCTATAATCCTAGCTTTGGGAGGTTGAGGCAGGAGGATCTTTTGTGGCCTGGAGTTCCAGACCAGCCTGAACAACATAGCAAGATCTCATCTCTACAAAAAATAGAAAAATTAGCTGGGTGTGGTGATAGGCACACCTAGTCTCTGAGAAGCTGAGGCAGGAGAATCAGTTGAGTTGAGGACTTTGAGGTTGCAGTGAACTATGGTAATGCCACTGCATTTTAGCCTGGGCAACAGAGCAAGACCCTGTCTCCGAGTAAATAAATAAAGAAAAGAAAATACATGAGTTGAGTAATCAGCCTTTTTTTTCTTTTTTTTTTTGAGACT